CGTGTTAGTCTGTATCTACAAAAACAACAAGAAGAAGAACAGGAGGACTTGTGGCACCTTAGAGACTAACAAATTTATTAGAGCATAAGCTTTTGTGGACTACAGCCCACTTCTTCGGATGCATAAGTGGGCTGTAGTCCACAAAAGCTTATGCTCTAATAAATTTGTTAGTCTCTAAGGTGCCACAAGTCCTCCTGTTCTTCTTTTTGCGGATACAGACTAACACGGCTGCTACTCAAAAACAACAAGGAGTCTGGTGGCACTTTAAAGACTAACAGATTTATTTGGGCATAAGCTTTGGTGGGTAAAAACCTCACTGAAAGTTACAGATGCAGGTATTATATACTGACACAGGAGAGCAGGGAGTTACTTTGCAAGTGGAGAACCAGTGTTGACAGGGCCAATTCAATCAGGGTGGATGTAATCCACTCCCAATAATAGATGAGGAGGTGTCAATTCCAGGAGAGGAAAAGCTGCTTCTGTAATGAGCCAGCCACTCCCAGTCCCTATTCAAGCCCAGATTAATGGTGTTAAATTTGCAAATGAATTTTAGTTTTGCCGTTTCTCTTTGAAGTCTGTTTCTGAAGTTTTTTTGTTCAATGATAGTGACTTTTAATTCTGTAATAGAATCACCAGGGAGATTGAAGTGTTCACTTACTGGCTTATGTATGTTACCATTCCTGATGTCCGATTTGTGTCCATTTATTCTTTTACAGAGGGACTGTCCGGTTTGGCCAATGTACATGGCAGAGGGGCATTGCTGGCACATGATGGCATATATAACATTAGTGGATGTGCAGGTGAATGAGCCCTTGATGGTGTGGCTGAGGTTTTAGGGAGGTTTGCAACAGGGTGAACTGTTGGGACCCTGCGAGTCTCTAGCAGCCCCGGCGTGGTTTCCCAAATCTCGTCAAAGCGGGATTCATTGGGCGCGAGCGGCTCAAAGGCTCTCCTGGGCCTGTTTTATCTTGCTGCTTAGTGGCCCCGGGGGTGATAAGGCCCGCCCTGATTTGAACTCATGAAGATGAGTAAATGCACCAATGACTGGATGTGCCTCTCTTGGGTCTTAGTCTGGCAGTTGCATAATAAATGTCATGGTTTGCTTTCCCTCTGCTTGAATTTGGTAGCATGCCAAGCATGTGTGTCTTTTCCTTCTGAACTGCTGTTGCTAATTCTAAGTTGTGAAGGAGAGACCATAGAAATTACCATGTGGGATCAGGCCAGTGACCATTTAGACCAATATCTAGTTTCCAACAGTGGCCATTTGATACTTGAGAGGAAGGTATCTGAAAGCCTGCAGTTATGGGACAACTTGCCCGCAGGGAAGATTCCTCCTGACCCCTATTGTAGATTGGCTTGTACAGCGAAGCTTGGGAGTTTACATTCTAAAAAAAAATAAAAATAAAACATGTTTACTATTATAATTGGCTATACTTGTTATCCATTTAACTGATCAGTCCTTTTTTGAATGTGAACAAGCATGTTCATTTCATATGTAAGTGACTAGCACAAATGGACAACTGAAAATCATGTGAAGAAATGTAATGCAAAGGTGTAGAAACAAGCAGTTGCCCAATTGCTTTGAGGTCAGACGTGTTAGAAAAGAGACCGATAACCTTAATTTTATTTATTGCTTGTCTGCAAAAGCACCAGCACATTACACAACTTAAAACAACCAAATAAAAGCAATATACAAACATATTTATATCACAGCACCATATAAAATATTTTAAAACATAAGATTTTTAAATCTGAATTAAAAGGTGCTGCTACATCTGCAGTTCTGCCTGTTTAGGAGGAACATGAAGATATCCTATAGTCTCGGGATTGCAGCAGCAAAAATACAATATGCCCTCTTGCATGGTCAAAAAACCCATCCATCAGCCCCATCCCTGTGCAGTTTAGCTGTTGAAATGATACCCTGGGAGCCAGAAGCTCCGTGAGACACCTGGGTCCCAATCCATTTTTAAAATTTAAAGCCAACATTTGAACACATTCTGGGTCCAAATAGGCAAGTGATGTGAATACAGAAGCTTCTTGGCACTCTCCTCTCACTCCTTCCTGTTCCTCCGAATAATCAAGTTGCCATATTCTGCTGTAGCATCTAATCAACCTACTTTTATAGCCTACAGTATACTGTAGTATTGTATTAGTGTATAAGAGAAACAGATAGTTTAATATTCTGAAGATGATCATAAGCAGCTGTGACTACCTGCAAATCCTGTGTAATATCAGTTCTGATTAGTGTCTAGACTGTGACCTGCATGAGTCACCTGAAGTGATACTATGAGAGGCCTAGTGAAATACTGCTCTCATATTTTCTACACAAACCAATCAACATTATTTTAATCTTGCTGAGATTCAGTTTTAGTTAATTCCTAGGTAGATCTGGACTTCTGTGAGGCATATTTTGAGACCCCTAAAATCATCCTCAGAGGGAAAGGTACAGCACTGACTGCACCGGGCTCTTTGTGGCCATAGCAGTTTACAGGATTGAGACCTAAGAAATTATGGTAGAATATATGAAGTTGGGTGTCATTGCTCTAAAACTGATTTCTGAGCCAATATCTATTACCATGCTTTTGACTGGTAACATGTAAAAACTGAAAACATTTGGAGCAAACACCAATTAGTGGGACCTAGCAAGAAGCAAGCAGCCACCTATCAGCACCCACTGGAACATCTGCACACATTATGATCAAGACAGTTCAATTTATATATGTATATATGTATGTGTGTGTGTGTGTATATATATATATATATATATATATAACGACCTATTTCACATACAAAATAGTGGAAAATTAGACATAAGGTTTAAAATAATGTTAACAGAAGTACTCCACTCGATCTCTAGGGACAACTGCTGAGTCAGGAGGTGTAAGGTATTTAAACCTATATCTAATACAAGGAAGGTAAAAAGAACAAAGGTGCAGTTCTCTTTTTCCCTTACATAATTGTACATAAATCTAGCATGAATTGTCTGTCTCTTAACCTAATAAGAGTGGTTTCTTCAAACAAAGGTTAAAATGAACAAAAAATGGCCAATGTATTTTAATATATTATTTTACCTCAGAAATTGGAATATCTCCATAAAAAATACTGCCAAGTATCTTTATAAGTCCCAATCCTGAAATTCATTGTGTATGGGCAGACCGCTTCTTTTGCAGAGAACCCACTGATGTAACAAATTGCAGGATCAGGCCCATAGTTTGTACTTTTGGGGAGGTGGTTATATTATTTGTAATACCTTCTTGGATGCTTTAAAATATTTCTTTCCCTACTGGTGTTATCTTTTTCCATTCTGCAAAAGTCCTCCTCTAATTCTTATGGGGTAACAAGCCAACATGAATCACAGTTAATTGTAGTTTCCCTAGTCTGAAAAAAATAAAAATAAAAGGTCAGCGAAGCCTTCATAATTCTAAGAACAAGTTTTATTGGTCAACTTTGTGCTTCCTCTGTTGCGGCAGCACGAACTTACTAGAAAAGAGATATAGAGAACCCCATAAGGAATGAAGTTTATCTTTACAGTTTGGCAGCTTATTAACTTACTACCAGTGATTCCACAGAACCTATAATGAGGAATTGATTTCTCCTTGATGAGGTTTTGAGGTTATTGGGGATAGCAACATTTCTTCTCTTACTTAAAAAAGCATCTACATATTAAGATCTAGTTTGTGTCGATCCCTGTGCGGATCGATGTGTGAGAGAGGAGGCTGTAAGGAGCCTTTCCCCTGATCTTTTCATCCCCTGTACAGGTGGCTCATGAGGACTGAGGCAGTCTAGTGCAGATATTTGTTAGACTGTCCAAAGAAGGTTGGGTGGGGAGAGGACAGAGCCACAGCCCAGTTTCCCCTGCATTGTCCAGCAAAGCTATACTTTATTTGTAGTTGATTACATGACCATTCACAGAGGGAGGGGAGGTTGGCTGGTTGGCTGCAGACAAGAGCTAAGCTCCCATTGAAGTCAATTATAGAACTCCCAAATATGTACAAGGATCTAAGGGAGATAGAGGACGTATATTTGAGTTTGAAATAAGATTGCGCATATAACTTGGAAGTAGAAATGAAACCCTAAACTTATATTTAAAAAAGTATTTTTTGCATAATTTAATTTGATATTTTTATTGTCTGGCTAACTAATGAAATGAGGATCTCATAATATTGAGAAAATATTAGTACCTACATTTTGAAACAGTTCTCAATACCATACTTATGTAGAAAGATAAAGATTGTATCAAAGAGTTTTGAAATGTATTTAGAGCATCCTAGAATTTCAGTTGCCTAGGACACTTACTATATATAAACAGTATACAAAATTTGGGTTTACTTTCATAACATAAAATAACTTTATATTTGTTGTACTCTTATAGCATAACTTGGCACAACATAATATTTATATAATATCTTGCAAAACATGTTAAACTCTTGATAGAAAGGACAAAATATTTACTATCTCTTTAATCTTCTGCAGATGCTGTTACTGAATTGAATCTGGTGTGAGTGTTGCCACTGATTCTCAGCACCCTGCTTTTCTTCTTTCTCTGTTTGAACAGATGAAAGCCTGTTAGTGGTGGTGTTGAACATTAGATTACTTTGGGAGAATGTCAGAATATTTGGGCAAAATCAGAGATAAGTCTAAGGGAGTAAGAGTCTAAATTGATGTAAGTTACATGCTGGTAGAAAGTGTAAGTTACATTACCTTAGATTCCCCTCTGAATTGGGTCCCTCGTCTTTTAATAGCCTGAAGAAAAAGGAAGCCTAGAGGTAGGGGGAGAAAAGAGCAAGAATCAGAGGAAGGGATGGTCCACACTAACCCCCCAGTTCGAACTAAGATACGCAACTTCAGCTACGTGAATAACATAGCTGAAGTCAAAGTACCTTAGTTCGAACTACAAGGTACTTACCGCGGGTCCACACGCAGCAGGCAGGCTCCCCCGTCGACTCCGTGTACTCCTCTCGCGGAGCAGGAGTACCAGTGTCGACAGCGAGCACTTCCGCGATCGATTTATCGTGTCTAGACAAGACGCGATAAATCGATCCCAGAAGATCGATTGCTTACCGCCGAACCCGGAGGTAAGTATAAACGTACCCTAACTCACTGCAATGCTAGAATAATCTGTTAAGCAACAAAGTTATTTCCATTGATAACTATGATTTCTGTAATATGTGGATTTGTTCAAACACCAGTCTCTGAATAAAAGACTGAAAGACGCAAGTCATTTCCTCAGTACCTTCATATAAATAGTGTATCATTGCCAAACATCTGGATTGCTAGTATTACACACACAGAGATGTTTACCATGCTATACCAGGTACAGAACTCACTTTACCAGTATTCATGATGGTTGTCAATCTATAGGTGTGATTTTAAAACTAAGATGTAACTAGGATTTTTTAAAAGAAGTACTGGATGGATCAGGGGATTGCTAATGTGTTACAGAACTTTCATATCCAGGTTGCTGCCTCAAATTCAACCAATGATAGTAAAAGACCAAAATTTCCTTTCTTCCTCATCAGATGGCTGTTCTGTGGTCTGTATAAAATCAGTCGATCTAAAACTCAGAGATGGGGGCAGAAAGAGAAAACTGCTTGTGAAGCAGTGAAACTTGTGTGAGGCCTAGAGGAAAGAGAAGTACACAAGACAGCTCCTTCTGGGCACAGGGCATAGTTGCCTTATATAAGGTTTGTGTAAAAGGGAGTGGCCTATATTGTCCTTTGTTACCACCCTATTCAATGAAACAGGATTTATGTACAGTAAAAGCTGTTTTATCCAGCACTTCACCAACCGTAAAGCTCTATAAACCGGCATTTCTGATCTTCATCGAAAGCCCAGTTTAGTTGGCATGTGGCCAGAAGTGGGTTGGGGCGCGGGAGGAGGTGCGATGCACAGGGTCTGGGAGGGAGTTTGGGTGTGAGAGGGGCCTCGGTGCAGCAGGTTGGGGCACAGGAGGGGGTGCAGGATCGGGGGTCACTCACCTTGGGAAGCTCCCTGTAAACAGCGACCTGTCCCGGCTGCTCTGAGGCGGAGGCGCGGCAAGCAGTTCTTCATGCTGCCTCCGCCCACAAATGCCACCCCTGCAGCTCCCATTGGCTGCAGTTACCAGCCAGTAGAGCCAGCGCTCATGGTGGGGCAGGGGCAGTGCGCAGAGCCGCCTGCTGTGCCTCCACCTAGGAGCAGCCAGGACAGGTTGCCGCTTGCGGGGAGCCGCCCAAGGTGAGTGCCTCCCCGGATCTGGCACCCCAAGCACCCTCCCAGAGCCCACACCCTATACCCCCTCCTGCGCCCCACCCTGCAGCTCCACACACACACACAAACTTCCCCCCTCTTAGTTAACTGGCATTTTTCAATTACCGGCACCCCGCATTCCTCCAACATGCTAGATAAAACAGCTTTTACTGTATATGGTGTAAATACATAAATATTATTAGGCACAACAGCGGAAGCACAAATATTAAATGCCCAAGAGCAAATTATCACAATGCAAAGGAATGAGGAAGAATAGTAAGAGACCAATATAGCTCATCAGGAGGTCTTTAATGACCTGAAATTGAAAAATGAATCCTACAAAAAATGGAGACTTGGACAAATTGCTAAAGAGAAGTACAAAAGACTAATGCAAGCATATAGGGATGAAAACAGAAAGATTGAGGCACAAAATGAGTTACACTTAGCAAGGGACATGAAAGGCATTAAGAAGAGATTCTATAAATACATTAGAAGTAAGAGAAAGATAAGGGAAGTGTAGGTCTATTACTTAATGGAAAGGAGAGCAAGTAACGGATGACAGAGAAGGGTGAAGTGTTGAATGTCTTTTTTTTCCCTTCAGTCTTCATTAAAAAGGTTAATTGTCAGCAGATGCTTAACACACTATTAACAAGGGTGGAGGATCTCAGGAAAGAATTGGTTAAGGTATATTTTGATAAGAGATGTATTCAAACTGGCAGAGCCTGGTGAAATTCACCCTAGAATACTTACGGAATTAGCGGAAGCAGTCTCTGAACCATTAGTGATTGTCTTTGAGAACTCATGGAGGACAGCAAAGGACCCAGAGAACTAGAAAAGGGCAAATAAAGTACCTAGCTTCAAAATGTGGGAAAAAGAAGGACCTGGGGAAATACAGACCAGTCAGTCTAATTTCAGTACCTGGAAGAAAACTGGAATAAATCATTAAACAATCAATTTGTTCAAATGTATAGGATTATAGGGGGATAAGTAATGCAAAAATGGATTTGTCAAGAACAAATCATTCCAAACCAACCAAATTTCCTTCTGTGACAGGGTAACCAGCCTAGTGGATAGGAGGGAAGCTGTAGACATTATATATCTTGAGTTTAGTAAGACTTTTGACATAGTCTCCCTTGACATTCTCATAAGCAATCTATGGAAATGGGGGCTAAATGAAATTACTATAAAATGGGTGCAAAACTGGTTAAACTACTCTTTGAGTTTGGTTTTTCATAAATGGTTTGCTGTCAAACTGGGGGGGGGGGAAGTATCTGTGGCGTTCCACAGGGGTCTGTCCTGGATCCAGTACTATTCAATATTTTTATTAATGATTTGGACAATGGAGTGGACAGTGCATTTATAAAACTTGTGGATAACACTGAACTGGGAGGGTGTTTGCAAGCACTTTCAAGGACAGGATTACAACTCAAAATGATTTTGATTAAATTGAATAATTAGTCTGAAATCAATAAGATGAAAATCAATAAAGACAGGTACTGCACTTAGGAAGGAAAAACCAAATGCACAACTATAAAATGAGGAAAATAACTCCCTAGGTAGTAGTACTGTAAAAAGAGATCTGGGGGATAGCATAGACGACTGGTACCTCCCCATACTGGAGGGGGCACAAGCTAAAGGGGAAGACAGTGACCACCCCATGTATCTCCCCTGCCCAGTGACCCCTCCTGCCCTGCACCCAGCCCTGGGCCGCAGCCCTGTCCCCACCCCATGTTACCCGCAGGGGAGGGGGGAAAAGGGAGGGCTCTCTGTCCTTCTCTCCCTACGCTTCTCCCCCTGCACATCTGGCCACTCTCCCTGGGAGCCACTTCTGCCTGAGAGAACCTGCCTGGGACATTCACTCTCACATACACACACACTCACCTCCCAGCCAGGCTCTCTCAGGCAGAAGTGGCTCTGTCACATTCCCCACCCGGCTACCAGGTAGAGCAGCCAAACGTGTTGAGGGAGCAGCGCAGGGAGAGAAGGACGGAGCCCCTCGTCCTCCCCACTCCTTGTTGTTTTTGTGGATACAGACTAACACGGCTACCCCCTGATACTGGAGCCTAGTATGGCTGTAAAGTCAGTGTGAAGTGACGGAAAGAGATACAAGCATGGTTGAGGGCTCTTTTTCTTCTGAATATGACCAGGTTGAATCATCACTGGGTTTCACAGTCTGTTACCATCCTGTTTTTAAGTTCTCAGCCATTTTGACTTTACAAAATTACATCTGTAAGGCATATATCTATGGCATGCCAAGCCTCCTAGACTACTGTGATATCAGAGGTAACTCAACCAATCACCACCCTTGCTCTACAGCTAATTTGCATGCCCTATAGCTAATTTGCACGCATTTAAAAAATTGGACCATAAATGCCAAGGAACCATGCCATCTTAAAAACTATAGAGTACCTTGTTTTGTTACCTTATCGCTTTTAATTACACTGGAGTTTTCTACTTTGGTTATAAAATCTGAATATCATATTTCCATCTAATCTTAGAATACATCATCATCATTTTGGAAGGGGGACTTGGTGGTGGTTGTGTCCTATCTATAAAACAACCATTCTTGTGAAACTTTAAAGATACTGATGTGTTCAGAATGAGTTAAGTAGGACAGAGTCATGCACCTATAAATCTGTGTATTCGATGATTTCATCATCTGTGGATTGATTCCCCTGGCATGTTCAGGAAGACCTATGTATAATTTTCATGATTAACTCATGGCTGGGACATGTTACTTTGATACAACACCTCAAAAAACTAAATCTTAGTGCTCAAAGTAACAAGTCCTAAACCATTAGTTATAGGCTATTCTACACTTTTGCCAAGGATTTCACATAATCATGACTAGTTTTAACATTTTACTTGGTTCCCCAACACACAGAGAAAATACTGGAACTGATTTTTATCTCATTTATACCCATCTAAATTAGAAATAACCCCTCTGAAGTGATGGGCATTACACAAGTGTAAAATTTGTATAAGCAAGATCATAGTCAAGTCAGTTCTTTCTTTAATTTTCCCCATCTTGCACAACATGTTACATGCCTGAGACTCAAAAGTCAGGTACTTTTGCTAATGCTACGATTAATTAGTTAATACGCAAAATAAGGAACCAAGCCAAAGAATTTTCCATTCAAAGTTTATTACAATTTATTTTTAAGGCCTCGTTTTTAGGGTTTTGCCATTAATTTACCAAAAGACTAAAGGAATGGGGGGTTTTTTGTGTCTCGCTGGGTTGCTCTATAGTAGTGTTTCCTAAGCAAAGACATTTTCTTTCTTTTCATTAGGACGACATACATAGGAGTGACTGCAGCCCTAGAGATGCAATAGCTTCTGTAGTCCCTGCATGAAGAGCTGAATCAGGATCCAAAATGGACTGCTTGCCTACCTGTATCTGAACTCAGGCTTCCTCCTTCTTAAAAGGGCCACCAAGACATTCCACTTAACCAACAAAGGCCCTGATTCTTTACTGTCTTCAATTAGCCGCAAAACTCATTTAAAAAAAGTATTCATCACTAGCCTGATAGCTGAGTTCCCACCCCCATATCATAAACCTGTATAAGAGTTGTTGTTCTGTCCCTGACTTGTTAATTAGCACTTATTCAGGGCACACAATTAGTCTTGAAGGTGGCATTGTTATTGACTGAACATACTAACTCCTTGAGAAAATTCTGACTACTTCACATTCCTGAAAATTAATCCTGAAACCTTCCTGAATTATAATAATCAGCTCCTTTAACTTTCTTTCCTGTGAAGAAGGTGGAGGCCAGCAGTGTCACTGAAGAGCAGGTGGTCCTCCCAGGCTCATTAGTACCTTTCCTTTTCCTTTTAAAATCCTTGATGCCAAGAATGCTATTCATAGTTTTTACAGGGCTCTGTTGGCTTGTCCTACCTCTGCTGCTAACCACCATTTGTCTGCCTTTCCCACTCTATTAAATCAGCAACCTATGACAGCACCTCAAAACTTGTAGAAGCTGCAGCTCTAGAACGATGTGGTAGGTCTGAAGCAGATTGAGGGCATCCAGCAGGGATGGACAGATGGAGATAATTAAACACTGCCTGTTTTTGAAAGATAGAGGAAAATGGAGCACAGGATGATGGCAAGAGGGGAATAAGTTGGGGGATGAAGGAACTCCTGTAAATAAATGGTTTGTTGAGAATTTAAAGGGATATTCTAGGTACACCAATGAACAAGAGATGATGATTTGAGATCAAGGGACCCCATAGCACAACAAGAAGTCACTTGAAGTAAATGGGAGCTACATTAAAAACCAATGCAGGGAAATACTTTTTCGCACTGGTAGTAGTCAGCCTCCAAAATTCACTACTTCAGGGTGTTAGAAAGCAAAATACTTGCAGCTGGGTTTTTTTTATGACCAGTGAGAACATTTGTAGTTCTATATACTAAGATGGGTATAATCAGATGTAATGCTTCAGAATGTGTGCTGATTGCTGCAGAGTTCAGGAAGGAATTGTTTCCTCCCACGTACAATGCAGTATTTCTTGACTGGCCAAGTAGGTTACTAGGATTGTCCTCTGAAGCATCAGGACTAGCCATCTCTGGAAAGAGAATACTAGATTTGATGGAAAACTGGTTCAGCCTGGAATAGCAAATCCTATCTTCCAAACACTAATGATGATGGGTAACATGGCAAAAAAATCCTTTCTGTTATGGTAACTGGGGCCTTCAAATGATGACAGCATAGAATCATAGAAATGTAGGGCTGGAAGGGATCTCAAGAGAGCATCTAGTCCAACCTCCCCACCCCCACTGAGGCAAGACCAAGTATACCTAGACCATCCCCGACAGATGTTTTTCTAACCTTAAAAACATCCAATGACAGGGATTCAACATCTTCCTTGGGAACCTATTCCAGTACTTAACTAAAATAGATAAATATTTTTTTCCTTCCCCCCCATGACTGGAGGGGTGTTAACGGTCCACCTCACCTTGAATGGTCCCTTGAAATATGTTAACTACTTATGCTAAACTATCTGTTCCGCCTTGTATTTAGCTGTGACATTCTGGATATGTCTACACTGCACTTAGACACCTGCAGATGACCCAGTGCCAGCTGACTTGGGCTTACGGCAGGGCTTGAACTAAAGGGCTGTTTAATTGCAGTGCAGATGTTCAGGCTTGGACTGTAGCATGAGCTCTGGGACCCTCTCACCTTGCAGGGTCCTTCAGCACAGGCTCCAGCCTGAGTCTAAATGTATACAATACAACAGGGGTCGGCAACGTTTGGCACGTGGCTCGACAGGGTAAGCACCCTGGCAGGCCAGGCCAGTTTATTTACCTGCTGATGCGGCAGGTTCGGCCGATCGCGGCCCCCACTGGCCGCGGTTCATCGTCCCGGGCCAATGGGGGCAGTGGGAAGGTGCGGCCAGCACATCCCTCGCCAGCGCCGCTTCCCGTCCTACCCCCTTCCATTGGCCCAGAACGGCAAACCGCGGCCAGTGGGGGCTGCGATCGACCGAACCTGCCACGTCAGCAGGTAAATAAACTGGCCCGGCCCGCCAGGGTGCTTACCCTGGCGAGCCGCATGCCAAACGTTGCCAACCCCTGCATTACAATTAAACAACTCCCCAAGCCCGAGCCATCTTGCACAGGCCAGCCAAGTGTTTTTAATTATAGTGCTGACATCCTCTCTGAGTGCATCCCAGGCCTAAGGAAGAGTGCAGTGTAACCGCAAACACTTGTTTCTCTCACCAACAGAAATTGGGCCCAAAATAGATAAATAGTAACATCTAGATGCTATGATGAGCCATGTTCAGTATGTAGCAAACTCTCTGAAAGTAGAGGACAGAATGGTCCTAGGATGCTCTAGTGAACTGAGCATGTAACTGGGAATCAGAAGATCTGGGTGCTAATTCCTGGCTCTGCCAATTTTCCTGTTTGACTTCGGGCATGTATAAGACTTGGACGGGTTCTCTTTGAAGTCTGTCATACCACTTCTGAATTGATAAAAGATTTCTTTCCTCTCAGGGATGTAGTGTGCAAACTTTTCCATACCCTCAGCATGGGAAGTAAGCACCAGCATGCTAAATGGCGGTGCAGAGGTACAGAGTGTTCCCCACATGATCATTGTGCCATATACAATGGGTGAATATCGTGTAACTGAATGATATGCTGTAGGTCATTTACTTACATGTCATTTCATTCCCATTTAATAACATGGGACATATCAGTTTGGAAACATGTAAAAGGGTCTGAGAAACATAAAAATTATCTTCAAACCACTCATGTAATAAAGGGGCCAAAATACAATGACAAATCACCAACACAGTAGCATGTAGTGTGTTGGCTTGTGCACTATGTGATGCTCTCATTGCAGAGACTTGAGTACACAACATATAGTAATCAACAAATGAGTCTAATATTGAGAATTCAAGACCTCATTTAATTAGTGGTTTCTAGTGTTCCATTCGTTATTTTATTTTTTTTACAGTAACACCTATAAATAGTCACTGAAGAAACACAAATTCCCTACACACATTGGGCTATATACTGCCCTGGGTAAATGCATACAATTCCCAATGGTATTAGTAGAGTTTCTTATGCAGTTTGAGGACAGAATAGGGCCTATTTAGAACAGTCTAGACCCCTTTGAATTTAACTATGGAAAGTATTTGTTTGTTAGGAGAGTAAATTATAGATAATTTATTAATAATCTAACTATATACTATTGAACAAATAATGCTTTTATATCTTTTTCTTTTAGGAAAAAAGATCAGCTGTTTTACATTTCACTATGACATATGCTATTTAGCTTTTCTGGCATGAACACCAGTAGTATACTTACTAAAGTAGGTCAACAGTTTATTTGATGCCTCTGTTAAGAACAACTTTTTACAGTACTGTGTATGTGTTGTGATAAAACATTGAGTCATTCCTGTCACCAGCTGCAGAGTATTTTTAGTTGCTTTCACATTAGGTGCAGAGTTATTTAATTTTACTTGTACGTTAACTTTTTATCTGGATTCCAGTTTTGGAGCATCGTGAGAAGTCAGTTGTCACTCCTCAAAGGGTTAAGTTTTTGCTAACAAATATGGATTATTAGATATAAAAACCATCATTGTTTGATATGTCAAATAAAACATTTGTCAATCAAAAGTCTTTAAGCACTGGGCTATGTGACATTTACTCTTTTATAAACCGACAAAGTCCCTGGTGGCATGCCTTTTTTCCTCTCATTTAAATAGTGGTAGGAGAACAAATCATACTTCAGGGCAAGTTGATAACTGCCAGTCACGATTCCTGCCTTGTTTACCATAATGAGCAGGGTAATAAATGCATCTGACCATTTCAGCTGGCATTTGCATAGATGAATGATTTGTCCAGTCAGTCGCTCTCCAGTGATTTGGGCCTTTTTGTCAGCACAAAGAGCACTCAGTCTCCCTGGAATTTACAGCAGCCAAGCTCTCATTAGCAAACATCCTTTACCATGAATGATTCAAATAATTACCACTGAAATAATAAACTGTTTCACAAAAACATTTTATTTGATGGCTCCAAACATCAACTTTTCTGAATTGTTGACATTCAAATAAGCTAGAGAGCTTTTTTGTTAAGCAACAATGATCCTCTTGTAAAAGGGTGGGCATTGTTTTACCTCCAATAGACCTTTAAACTTGGCCAGTTATCAAATGTGTCCCTCAAACTGCCAGCCAATGTTCTGGGTAATCAGAGGGCATGGACCAGATGGAGCTAGAGTAAAATTACATACTCAAACTCCAAACAAATTTTTGTCAGATCTACTTCTGATATCACAAGCCGAAAACTCCAGACTAATTAACAGCAGGAACTTATCTGTTTGCACCTACAGCATAATATAATTATTAAATGTCCTTGCTTACACTGAGCGGTTCAAGTGTGAGTTCTCTTCTGTAATGGTATTTATATGTATAATTAAGTGCTATTTGATATAGTTTTGGAGTTCAGTCAAATGAGCAAGCAACAATTATACCCTATAATCTTCTATAGTGCATGGCAATAGGCATGATGTCAGTGCATTGCCAAATGCATAGCACTGGGCAAGCAGGAGTTCCTGTTATCACCTTTTTACACTCATTCCGTCATGTATAATTTAGAAAGTTTTAATAAACTTGAATTGGTGCAATGTATGCACATATACTATGGATATCATACTATGTATGAATGTGTTTCCTTTTCACTGTGGTATTGTTTGTGCACATATGCGTCTGAAAATATTATCTTAAATGTAACAAATATCTTAATTGTAACAAAGATTGATTAAACAGGATTAAATTGCACATCGTATACATCTCTTAGCTGCAAAGAAATAGTCAACAGAAAGGGAGATATTTTTCTCCCAGCTTAAGAAATTTCTTCTTTGAGTGACTGCACTTGTCCATGCCACTCTAGGTGGCCACACCTAGTGCACAGTTGTTGTTGGTTTTTCCACCAGTGGTACCCGTTGGGGCAGTGTGAGCACCCTCTGCTACCTCATGCCAATTTGCACAGGTATAAACGGCTTAGTGACCCCCCACTCCACTCAGTTCCTTCTTACCACCTGTGACAGTTGTTGTAGCATGTGTTCTTGCCTTTGAAAGCCTTTCCCTGTTTGTCTGTGTATATAGTACCCATTTGTTGTTTTGTCTCTTTTAGATTAGTATAATAGATTAGATTGGTTAGCTTTTAAGATTGTGACTTCTGTGGTTCCTGCATGGGTACCAGTGCCAGTACTATGATCATGCATAGGTCTTTGGGTTTCAAGTCTTGCCACTCTTGCATTAAGCCTATACCTGTGAGTGACCCACACCCCAGCTTTCTCAAATGCCTGGGGAAATCTCATATGAGTGCCAGATGTCACATCTGTAGGAGTGTTAGCCCTGTTCTAAAAAAGACAGAACAACCAAGCCCAAACATTTTTTTCATGTTAGTGGCTCTTCATCCACCTCCAGGGCCTTCTTGCAGACAGAGCATCAAGCATGTCCGAGTTGGTGAGGAGTGCTTCCCCTGTTTTAACGGAGCGAAGAGGCCATTCTGTGTCCCAGTGATGCTGAAGTGACACTACATGTCTTTCAGGGACTAGGTACCAGAATCTTCAAAATCTTCAGCAACAAGATTTAGTAGAGACAAGGGCACTGGAGTGCACTGAAAGAAGATGCACTCCTTGAGGCAGGTCTTGGATTAAGGGAGGGTCATTGACTCCAGAGCCTAAGCTGGGACCATCGAGACTGAGCCCTGAAGGGATGGCAGCAGCATTAAATGTCCAACCACTGGTGCAGGACTTGATCCTGGTACCATCAATACTGGAGGCATATGCAGTGGCATGAGAACTTCTAAACCTTTTGGTACTGGTTTCCCCACCCATTCAGAGTGCTTCATGCCTGGTATCTACCTTTCTGATGCCTAATATTCCGGCTTTGATACACCATGTGGTTCTGGCCATGCCTTCAGGCCAGGTGCCTATGAACACACTCGAGCCACAAATTGGCAATTGCACAAAGAGCAGTGGCCTAAGCATAATTGGATCCCAGTACCATACTAGTGGGCTTTCTGAATTAGGGATTCCCACTGCAGTTCATCCCCAAAACCCCCCACCATCTGCCTCTTGGGATAGGCATCAGAAGCATCCAAGCCAGAGTCAGCAGCTGCTTGCTCTGGGTACCAAGACCAATACCAGTCCAGAGGAAGTTCCCCCAAGAGGTCCATCCATCGACGAATTAGGGGAGGCTACTTCTCAACAGCCTTTGGCTTCTTCCTCCTCCTTACCTGATGTGAGTGATAGTGAACAGTACTTCTCCCACACCCAATGACTATAAGACTAAATCAGTGGTGGTGAAAAGGATGGCGG